AGAATGATTCAATTATTTGTTTATGTGGTTCTGCATCTGTTTAGATCGGTGTGTGGAACTCAAACACCGGCCTTAACCTGACAGACAGCAATAAAGACAAAAACACCAACGTGACGGACTCCATGGCCAACCGCACGCTCATCGTCACCACAATTCTGGTAGCAATCAACCAATGCAGAACATCAGCTAGACCATCCACCTGCAACTAATAATACTTTTGCCCCTGCAGGAAAACCCATATGTGATGTACAAGAAGTCAGATAAGCCGCTGTATGGGAACGACCGGTTTGAAGGCTACTGTTTGGATCTCCTGAAGGAGTTGTCCAACATCCTGGGCTTCTCCTATGAAGTCAAACTGGTGTCTGATGGGAAATATGGAGCTCAGAATGACAAAGGAGAATGGAATGGCATGGTCCGAGAGCTGATCGATCATGTAAGTCCAACTTTCTTGGTTTAATTATAAGTTTTCTGGCTGATCTGAATGCTAGTTTCCTCATCAAGTCATTTTATGTGGTCTTAAAGAGTCTAATATAAATTCTCACTGGCTTTAGTATAAATTCTCACTGGCTTCATTACAGGTGGCAGATTTGGCCGTGGCGCCACTCACCATTACTTACGTGCGAGAGAAAGTCATCGATTTTTCCAAGCCCTTCATGACCCTGGGAATCTCTATCCTCTACCACAAACCCAATGGCACCAATCCAGGTGTCTTCTCCTTCCTGAATCCGCTCTCTCCGGATATCTGGATGTACGTGCTGCTGGCTTGCCTCGGGGTCAGCTGTGTGCTGTTCGTCATTGCCAGGTAAAATCCATATCAACCCATTTTAACCTTTAGATTGGATTCAGTTCTTCCAGTTGGATCGATTTTAATGCTTTTATTATGCCTTGTTGGATTGTGGTTAATTAGCTCTTGTTTTACTGCCCAGCAGTAATAGCTCAAAAACACAAGTCTTGGCCAGCTCATTTTAATTAAAATGCAAATGTGTTTTCATTTAGCAAATGTATATATTTTTTTTAACTCATACTTCTTTTTGAGCATTTGCAGCTAATAGGACTTTTAGTGAAGTTATCGTTTTTGGCTGACACTCTAAAAACACGTTTTGGCAAAAAAAAAACAAAAAAAAAA